CCATTCAGCCCCTCACTTCATAATCTTTTTCAATTTAAATCCAGAACTTACCCTTTAGCCCCTGGAGATTCAATTCTTGTCATTTGGCTTCCTGAAACAAACTCCCAGCTAATTATTATTTGGTTTTGGGCTATAATAATATAAAATAATAATAGATGATATATGGTCCATTGGCATGGCCTAGACTGCTCTAGCGCGCCAACCTGGCCTGGCGCGCTCCTCCCAGCCCTGCCTGGCGCTCCCTTTCCAGCCTTGCTGAGGACTCCCTTGCCAGCCCTACTGGGGACTCTCCTGCCCGCCCGGCCAGGCGCTCCCTCGCCTGGCACTCCCTTGTCATCCTTTCCTGGTGCGCGCCCGCTAGCCTTTCCTGGGGCGCGCCCGCCAGCCCCGCCAGGCGCCTCCGGGCGGCCTTGCCCAGCTCCTTGCTAGTTGGGCCTGAATTGGGCTGGCCCAAGGCCTGACCCAATTCCCCTTGACCTAGTTGTCCACTATAAATAGAATAGTGCCTCCTCCATGAAGGAGGACCTCTGCTAGACCTTTACCTAGACTCTTCCCCCATGGCTCAGCCGCCACTATACTTCGGCCGGGTGGCTCAGCCGCCACCCGCCGCCGTCAGCCACCATACACCACCACCAGCACCAAGATGGTTCTCTCCAGCTATGGAGGACCATATCAGATCTTCTAGCTGATCTAACTTGACCGTCGGAGTCCGCTCCCGGGGCACACTCCCTGGGGCGGCTCTAACGACTTTGCACTGTGATGTCCAGATCTCCGCCGCAGCAGAAGACCAGAAGACTCGTCGAAGGTCGATGTCGCATCATTTGGCGCCATCCCGGATTCGAGCAAGTAGCAAAAGCCTCGGTTGCTTCCTCAGATCTGATGGGTTTTCATCTCAGGTTTCTTCAGATCTGTTAATCTCTAGTATCATTTGCTCAGATCTATTCATGTTTGGCATAAATTTGTTCAGATCCGTTTGGCTTTTTCCAAGATCTGTTCAGATCAATTTGTTTCTTGAAAAGATCTCTTCAGATCTGTTAAGCCATCATTTAGATCTCAAGATCTACTCCATTTCTCAGTTCAAATATTTAGATCTATTTTCGTTTTCAAGTTCAGATCTGTAGATCTATTTACCTTTTGAAGCTCGGATCTCAAGATCTTTTGAGTTTTTAACTTATCTGAACATTTATGAAGTTTGAAAGGCATTTTAGATCTATCAACGTTTTTTGGTTCAGATCTTCAGATCTGTTAATCTCTAGTATCATTTGCTCAGATCTGTTCATGTTTGGCATAAATTTGTTCAGATCCGTTTGGCTTTTTCCAAGATCTGTTCAGATCAATTTGTTTCTTGACAAGATCTCTTCAGATCTGTTAAGCCATCATTTAGATCTCAAGATCTACTCCATTTCTCAGTTCAAATATTTAGATCTATTTTCGTTTTCAAGTTCAGATCTGTAGATCTATTTACCTTTTGAAGCTCAGATCTCAAGATCTTTTGAGTTTTTAACTCATCTAAACATTTATGAAGTTTGAAAGGCATTTTAGATCTATCAACGTTTTTTGGTTCAAATCTTCAGATCTGTACGTTTTTGTTCATTTAATCACCTCTCAAGTTTAGAAACACCGGCTCAAACCCGTTTTTACTCAAATTTTCGGGGATAAAGGAGCTTTCTTCCATTTTTGTTCACATTTTGGTGTTTTATGGATGCAACTTGAGAGTTGAAGAACTTTTTGGTAAATATTTAATTTATTTTCAGCTTATTTTTTAAAGAAATCACCTTCAGTTTGTGATTTTCTTTGCAAGACTTCTTTGAAGTTGTTTACTTAGTGTTTCCTTCAAAAACTTATAGAAAGAAAATGATAAATTTTTAGATCTGTTCCTTGTTCTTGTTCTAATGTCTTGTTGAACAAGCTGGAGATAAAAGGAAATTTCATCAGAGAAAAAACCTTGTTTGATCCGTTTTTGCTTATATTTTGAGGGTTTGTTGAACAATTTCAGAAGAAAAGAAATTCTTATGCATTTTTATCTCATTTTTAGTTTATATGTTAAAGAAAAACATTTTTTGTTTAGATCTTCTGTAAAGAACTTCAATTCTTGAAACACTTATTTGTACATACAGCTGTATAGCTTGTACATTTTACAAAACTCTTCAAAAAAAAAGGAGAGAAAAAGGGAAGGGAAGTTCTGATGGGTCTTAACCCACTTTCAGTCCATGTATCTTTCTGAGGATCTCATTTAGTTTATGGTCTTCAAAATTCACTCAAGTTGTCTAAAAACTTGAAGTAAAAATAAATGAACTTTTTATCTCCTTAAACTTTCAGAAATCTCATCTGAGTATTTTCATATGCTTTTCACCCGACATGTATTTATTTTTAACCAACCTCAAATATTTACCCCATTATTCTTTAATTTACTGGTTAGTCAAAAACAAGGGGGGGGGGGAAGCAGTGTGGTGTAAGACACACACATGTACAAAACGTCTGATTCACAAAAAGAATGCATATACAAGCTAGAAGACAAATGCATACAAAAAAAAAAGCAAACATATATGCGCAGAGAATATTTTACAGCTAATATTTACTGTGAATTGTGAAAATATATTACAACAATGAGTTGTCACTAGTAAGCCTTGTCACTCGTAAGCCGACAAAAACAAAAGGGGGATATGGGTGTACAGTCTACACTATAAAGTTTAAAGAAACAAAACTAGCACAACAGGCCCCATACGTCTCAAAAAGACACACAAGCCGACAGGAAAAGTCAACAGTGGAGTCAGGTCCCACCCTGGCCCACTTCTCCATACACAAAAACAAAGAAGATGGGCCCCACCAACCTATTGCTCTTCCCGAATGGGGCTGCCTGTACACTTTCCGATCGCCGGTCATCAGTCACCCGTCGAGCGACCTCCAATCATCATCAGCTTCCATGGCTAGTCGATCCCGGCTAGACGACGCCCCCAGCAGGAAGGCCCCGACAGCGAGCGCTTCCCTCGAACATTGTTGGTCGTCTCTAGCAGGCGGCAACCCATGAAGCACCAAGACTTGTGCAAACAATCACTCACCAAAACCCGCAACAAGTGACCCAGCTAACCAGACCACCGTAACTCATAGCCGGTCGCCCATTCCCCAGCCAACCGAAAGAATCCCTGACGGTAGCCTTCATCTCCAACTCCGACACCCAGCTGTGAACCTCCGATGCTGCCAAAGAACCCTCGAAACAGCGCCATCATCACCAACTGAAATTAGATCCAAATGACCAATAGTCGCTTTCGATTCCGACGACTAGAACCAACACCGCCCACCGGAGACATAAAACCAAACCATTGTTGGTCGCTTTCATCGCCGCCACCGCAGGTCGTCCCTAACTGATCAATAGCACCTTCGACTTTGGCCTTCATCTCCAACAGATTCGGGCTCCGGTGCCAACAATTACCATCACCAGCGACCTGCTCCTCCGATGAACCCCCACAAACAAATGGCTCTGACGAGAAATCACCACCTCCTCCAACTGTTTGTACTCAGCAAACCATCTCCCGTTGGTGACCTATCGACGATCCCTTTCAAGCATGACCCATCAGACTAGCGACACCAGCAGAACCACAGTTCCAACCTTCCTCTACAGATGACGAGCTTGGAAAGGAACCCAAAAAAGAAGAAGATGAGTCGCCTCCAGTCGACTTTTCCCTTCCCGCCAACGTCTTTCATCGAGTAACCATTGAACAAAAAAAAGGGAGGAGTTTGGAAAAGTACCTGGGCTAATAACATCGTGTGCAACTGGGTTCCCAAAAATGGTCCACATTTTCTCACCTTGGGCCTCTCTTAAATTGCCATTTTATGCTGGGCTAATTGAGTAACAATCAAGATGGCCCATTTTTACAATTCAATTTTTGTCAATCAACTGCTCGACACTCGTGTGCTACAATCCCGCTCAACAAAAAAACTTTTAGAATATGCATTGTGGGCTGCTGATGTTTCAAAAAAAAAAAAAAACAGTTTGGGTCAATAGTTGAGAAAACCGGGCTCAAATATATCTATTTTTGGGAAAAGGCTGCTAATATTTATCATTTTGGGCTTAAGTTGTATTAGATATGTCATGGGTTACCTCTATAATTTTAAAATGGGCCACCTTCGCAAAACAAAATAAGTTGTTTAACACTCATACACCGCAAGCCTTGCTTAACAAAATGCGTTTTAAAATACGTATTACAATCCAGACCACTCAGCTTTTCAAAACAAAAAAAAGGAAGGAGGGGGAAGAGTAGTATGCTACTACTACTCGTGGAGCATTTTAAGATAAACCTTAGCGACCGTATTGCTCATATTGGCTTGCTCCAGGCTGTCTCGCTACCCATCGGATCCCACTATCAATAACTACTGCGTCGCCTAGATCTCAGCAGTCGAACAACTAGGCACTGAGCATCCATGCGACTCAGCTCAGCAGCCGCAAAGCCAAGTCATCAGCAGCTGCAGTATCTGACTCCCAGCAGCCACGCTACCCAGCTCTCAGCAGCCGCGCTACCCAACTCTTGTCAGCGCTTTCATCGCCTAGCTCTTTCCAGTAGCCGTGTCGCCCAATTTCCAGAATCTATGCGTCCATCATTCCTATTTCTCACCTCCTCTAAGAAAAAAATGGGGGGGGAGAAGGGTTGGTACGACACTATGCTGAAGCGATTTTTATTCCGAAGGGGCAGAGTTAAAGTAGATGAAGAGCTGATGCTATGCATGATAGTGCACTCCCGAGGTGACATTAATATTCCGAGTCGAAAGATCATCCTCGTCGTTTAACCCTTGGTAGTCTCGTTGCCCTGCTCTTAGAGGTCGTGCTGCTCATCTATCGCTGACAGCTCAATGCTCAGTTCTCAGCGGCCCTGTTGACCAGCTCCCGACGGCAGTCTCGCCACACACCACTTGACAACAGCCACATTATCCAACTCTAAGTAGCATCGCCGCATAGCCTTCGATAGACAGTCAAGACAACGAGGCACCAATAGTCACTACAATCAATGATACGGCAGAGCAGCAGGTGTCATTACACTTCAGTTGCTCCTGATAACCTGGTCCGGACACATAGATTGTCGGCCGCTGCGCCCAAGCATGCAAGGTTCAGTACCTTTGCCTCGAGTCGCCTGGCTTCTCTGCCCGACTCCATTATAGCGGCTAGCTCCGCATGCGAGGTTCAGTACCCTCACCTCAAGTCGCGTGGCTTCTCAGCCCGACTCCATTATAGCGGCAAGCTCCGCATGTGAGGTTCAGTACCCTCGCCTCGAGTCGCCTGGCTTCTCAGCCCGACTCCGTTATAGCGACAAGCTCCGCATGCGAGGTTCGATACCCTCGCCTCGAGTCGCCTGGCTTCTCAGCCCGACTCCATTATAGCGGCAAGCTCCGCATGTGAGGTTCAGTACCCTCGCCTCGAGTCGCCTGGCTTCTCAGCCCGACTCCATTATAGCGGCAAGCTCCGCATGCGAGGTTCAGTACCTTTGCCTCGAGTCGCCTGGCTTCTTAGCCCGACTCCATTATAGCAACATGCTCCGACCATTCCACGCGATGCTCTTCCGCGTGACTTATCTACGATCGCTGGAAGCCAAGCCCAATCCATTCCACGCGATGCTCTCCCGCGTGATCTATCTACGATCACTAGCAGCCAAGCCCGATCCATTTCGCGCGATGCTCTCCCGCGTAACATCTCCATGATCATTGGCCGCTAAGCTCAAGCTACTCTCCTAAGTCGCGCAACATAATTCGCGCATCGTCGCGCACCATAATTCGCGCATCACAAGCTTATTCCACACCATGATCTTGGGGCTTCCTCTCTCACAGTCATCATGGTTCTCTTGTGCTTGGACGATCGATGAAGTGTTATCTACATTACATCATGCTATAATGAGGATACTCTCCAGCAAGAAGGTCATCCCGACAATGGCCCTGCTACCTACGACCCCACAGCATCTATGTTTCCTGGCTCTCGAAAATGGTCTCGCTGTGCAACCCTACCCGTAGCCTCGCCGTGTACCCCACAGCACCTCTGTTTCCTGGCTCTCGGAAACGGTCTTGCTATGCAACCCCAATCTATAGCCTCACTGCCTATCCCTCAATAATTCTGTTGTCTGGCTATCGACAATAGTTTCGCTATGTGACCCTCGCTAGCAACCTAATCACACAGCTCTTGGAATCTCTTCCACTTATATTATGGTCAACAACCTTACGGTTTATTGGTTTGACAACATAGTCTGACACTGCTACCTACGCTACCCACATCAGACTGGGGGAATCCAGCTAGGTGTATCCCGAGCAAGAAAGACCCTCAAGATGGTTATTAATGCAGACTATGTAGATGGTTACTGGTGACATCCCATCTATGCATGGCTACCACAACAATCACGTCGGATAACAGTCTCAGGGACTGAATGGAAAGCCTACGCTTCTTAGCTACCCCGGCCAGACATTTATTGACATCAGTGTCGCGTAACACTCTTTAGCGGCCTCGGTCTACATAATCGCAGCAACAGTTATGTTGCATCTCACCGACCGATCGCACTCCTCTCAATGAAGGAGTAACAAGTCAACTCAAGCCGCATAAGCAATGTTTGGCTCTTCGCACAACCCCACGACTCTCGTGGGCGAGGTTCGGTCATTCCTCTTTATTATTTATTGTATTGGTGCTTTATCTAGTCCGATCCGATTGTCAGCAACCCAATCGCATCAGACTAGGGGGACTTGACGACGCACAGTTTATATGACTAGTTCCAGTCCGATGTTATTGGCCGCGTACCAATAACACCAGACTAGGGGGACTTGATGATATATGGTCCATTGGCATGGCCTAGACTGCTCTAGTGCGCCAACCTGGCCTGGCGCGCTCCTGCCAGCCCTGCCTGGCGCTCCCTTGCCAACCTGGCTGGGGACTCCCTTGTCAGCCCTGTTGGGGACTCTCCTGCCCGCCCGGCCAGGCGCTCCCTCGCCTGGCACTCCCTTGTCATCCTTTCCTGGTGCGCGCCCGCCAGCCTTGCCTGGGGCGCGCCCGCCAGCCTCGCCCGGAGCCTCCGAGCGGCCTTGCCCAACTCCTTGCTAGTTGGGCCTGAATTGGGCTGGCCCAAGGCCTGACCCAATTCCCCTTGACCTAGTTGTCCACTATAAATAGAATAGTGCCTCCTCCATGAAGGAGGACCTCTGCTAGACCTTTACCTAGACTCTTCCCCCATGGCTCAGCCGCCACTATACTCCGGCCGGGTGGCTCAGCCGCCACCCGCCGCCGTCAGCCACCATACACCACCACTAGCACCAAGATGGTTCTCTCCAGCTATGGAGGACCATCTCAGATCTTCTAGCTGATCTAACTTGACCGTCGGAGTCCGCTCCCGGGGCATAGTCCCTGGGGTGGCTCTAATGACTTTGCACTGTGATGTCCAGATCTCCGCATGTGAGGTTCAGTACCCTCGCCTCGAGTCGCCTGGCTTCTCAGCCCGACTCCATTATAGCGGCAAGCTCCGCATGCGAGGTTCAGTACCTTTGCCTCGAGTCGCCTGGCTTCTTAGCCCGACTCCATTATAGCAACATGCTCCGACCATTCCACGCGATGCTCTTCCGCGTGACTTATCTACGATCGCTGGAAGCCAAGCCCAATCCATTCCACGCGATGCTCTTCCGCGTGATCTATCTACGATCACTAGCAGCCAAGCCCGATCCATTTCGCGCGATGCTCTCCCGCGTAACATCTCCATGATCATTGGCCGCTAAGCTCAAGCTACTCTCCTAAGTCGCGCAACATAATTCGCGCATCGTCGCGCACCATAATTCGCGCATCACAAGCTTATTCCACACCATGATCTTGGGGCTTCCTCTCTCACAGTCATCATGGTTCTCTTGTGCTTGGACGATCGATGAAGTGTTATCTACATTACATCATGCTATAATGAGGATACTCTCCAGCAAGAAGGTCATCCCGACAATGGCCCTGCTACCTACGACCCCACAGCATCTATGTTTCCTGGCTCTCGAAAATGGTCTCGCTGTGCAACCCTACCCGTAGCCTCGCCGTGTACCCCACAACACCTCTGTTTCCTGGCTCTCGGAAACGGTCTTGCTATGCAACCCCAATCTATAGCCTCACTGCCTATCCCTCAATAATTCTGTTGTCTGGCTATCGACAATAGTTTCGCTATGTGACCCTCGCTAGCAACCTAATCACACAGCTCTTGGAATCTCTTCCACTTATATTATGGTCAACAACCTTACGGTTTATTGGTTTGACAACATAGTCTGACACTGCTACCTACGCTACCCACATCAGACTGGGGGGAATCCAGCTAGGTGTATCCCGAGCAAGAAAGACCCTCAAGATGGTTATTAATGCAGACTATGTAGATGGTTACTGGTGACATCCCATCTATGCATGGCTACCACAACAATCACGTCGGATAACAGTCTCAGGGACTGAATGGAAAGCCTACGCTTCTTAGCTACCCCGGCCAGACATTTTATTGACATCAGTGTCGCGTAACACTCTTTAGCGGCCTCGGTCTACATAATCGCAGCAACAGTTATGTTGCATCTCACCGACCGATCGCACTCCTCTCAATGAAGGAGTAACAAGTCAACTCAAGCCGCATAAGCAATGTTTGGCTCTTCGCACAACCCCACGACTCTCGTGGGCGAGGTTCGGTCATTCCTCTTTATTATTTATTGTATTGGTGCTTTATCTAGTCCGATCCGATTGTCAGCAACCCAATCGCATCAGACTAGGGGGACTTGACGACGCACAGTTTATATGACTAGTTCCAGTCCGATGTTATTGGCCGCGTACCAATAACACCAGACTAGGGGGACTTGATGATATATGGTCCATTGGCATGGCCTAGACTGCTCTAGTGCGCCAACCTGGCCTGGCGCGCTCCTGCCAGCCCTGCCTGGCGCTCCCTTGCCAGCCCTGCCTGGCGCTCCCTTGCCAACCTGGCTGGGGACTCCCTTGTCAGCCCTGTTGGGGACTCTCCTGCCCGCCCGGCCAGGCGCTCCCTCGCCTGGCACTCCCTTGTCATCCTTTCCTGGTGCGCGCCCGCCAGCCTTGCCTGGGGCGCGCCCGCCAGCCTCGCCCGGAGCCTCCGAGCGGCCTTGCCCAACTCCTTGCTAGTTGGGCCTGAATTGGGCTGGCCCAAGGCCTGACCCAATTCCCCTTGACCTAGTTGTCCACTATAAATAGAATAGTGCCTCCTCCATGAAGGAGGACCTCTGCTAGACCTTTACCTAGACTCTTCCCCCATGGCTCAGCCGCCACTATACTCCGGCCGGGTGGCTCAGCCGCCACCCGCCGCCGTCAGCCACCATACACCACCACTAGCACCAAGATGGTTCTCTCCAGCTATGGAGGACCATCTCAGATCTTCTAGCTGATCTAACTTGACCGTCGGAGTCCGCTCCCGGGGCATAGTCCCTGGGGTGGCTCTAATGACTTTGCACTGTGATGTCCAGATCTCCGCATGTGAGGTTCAGTACCCTCGCCTCGAGTCGCCTGGCTTCTCAGCCCGACTCCATTATAGCGGCAAGCTCCGCATGCGAGGTTCAGTACCTTTGCCTCGAGTCGCCTGGCTTCTTAGCCCGACTCCATTATAGCAACATGCTCCGACCATTCCACGCGATGCTCTTCCGCGTGACTTATCTACGATCGCTGGAAGCCAAGCCAATCCATTCCACGCGATGCTCTTCCGCGTGATCTATCTACGATCACTAGCAGCCAAGCCCGATCCATTTCGCGCGATGCTCTCCCGCGTAACATCTCCATGATCATTGGCCGCTAAGCTCAAGCTACTCTCCTAAGTCGCGCAACATAATTCGCGCATCGTCGCGCACCATAATTCGCGCATCACAAGCTTATTCCACACCATGATCTTGGGGCTTCCTCTCTCACAGTCATCATGGTTCTCTTGTGCTTGGACGATCGATGAAGTGTTATCTACATTACATCATGCTATAATGAGGATACTCTCCAGCAAGAAGGTCATCCCGACAATGGCCCTGCTACCTACGACCCCACAGCATCTATGTTTCCTGGCTCTCGAAAATGGTCTCGCTGTGCAACCCTACCCGTAGCCTCGCCGTGTACCCCACAGCACCTCTGTTTCCTGGCTCTCGGAAACGGTCTTGCTATGCAACCCCAATCTATAGCCTCACTGCCTATCCCTCAATAATTCTGTTGTCTGGCTATCGACAATAGTTTCGCTATGTGACCCTCGCTAGCAACCTAATCACACAGCTCTTGGAATCTCTTCCACTTATATTATGGTCAACAACCTTACGGTTTATTGGTTTGACAACATAGTCTGACACTGCTACCTACGCTACCCACATCAGACTGGGGGGAATCCAGCTAGGTGTATCCCGAGCAAGAAAGACCCTCAAGATGGTTATTAATGCAGACTATGTAGATGGTTACTGGTGACATCCCATCTATGCATGGCTACCACAACAATCACGTCGGATAACAGTCTCAGGGACTGAATGGAAAGCCTACGCTTCTTAGCTACCCCGG